TGATAAGCCTCCTCAGAATATACTACATGGATAAATGTTATTATTATAGACAGTCTAGAAAGTTCCCAAAATTTGCATATGTCTCAGTGTCATGTCATAATTCCAGCTGTTACCTTAAAATACTGTATGTCACAGCAACTCGATTGAGCTTCTTTGTCAAAACACTGTAATCGGATCCTTCACCTTGCCTTTTTAAGTCTTGTATAGACAGCTAAACTGATGCTTTGCAAAATTGCTGCATCTTCAAGAAGACTCATAAAAAGGACTTTCTTTTGATAAGTACAATTTTCATTTAAATCGTAATGCTGAACTGGGTAAGATGTTTAAAAAGTCTAATGGAAACTCTGATTTCATGAAATTGTTGATAAAAAGGATTAATTACATAGGATTCACTAAACTGATGAGTATGGTTATAATTTTTTGGTTTCATCTGAAATATTGTTGGCTTTTCATCTATGTATTCTGATTTAACTGTTTACCAAATGTTTGTCTATCAGTATTGAAAGTTATTGTTTTACTTCTAACCACACTGTTGCCCCTAATGTTTAGGATAGGGAGAAAATTCTCTAATGCGGTTGCCACAGAGCATAACTACTCATGATGTATAACACCACTTGCTTTAAGCGTCTGTTGCTAAAAGCACATGTACATCTGCTTTGGCCATTGAGGAGGGGAATACATTCGAAAATCAAAATGGACTAGCTGTGGTTCAGACATCCGAGGTAAAACTAGGGGGCCATTGTGGACCTGATTTCAGACAAGTTTCTGTATTGCTGAGAACTTTAGTTTTCTGAGCTGCGTCATACTCAGGATGCCACCAGCCACTCTCAAAGCAGTGTCTGCTGGCAGCTGGTAGCTATAACGTTATGGCTTCACAGTCTCCTCTTGTAAGTATTAAATTTTTAGACAATAAAATTGCTTTAGATCAGATGTTAGCAGAAAAAAAAAGGAGACACGTAGTGGCCAACAGCTCCTGTTATGTATATGTTAATACCACATCAGAAGTTAAAACCTACTTTTGTAGACAACTGGCTACAAGTCTCCCCAAAATGCCAGGTCCAGACTGTTTTTCAGGTTTATTCTCCTGAATACCTCAGGGAATGAGGTCTTAATCTTACAAGACTTGAATCCAGGACTTGGAACTTGGGAATACTTCCAACTCAGTGTCCATTCTGCAAATCAAGGTAGGGCTATGCCCCATTTCAGCAAGAAGTAGCCAGAGCAGTTGCTGCCCAATTCCCTGAAAGATTTGGGGAAGGATGAGACGGGACTGGAGATTGAAATTGAGTTCCCCCAAAACTGAATTCCTCTGTCAAGTTTATGATTATATATATATATATATACCAAACATTATTCCCCTTCTTGTCCAACACCTGTTCTCCTCGAGATTGAGGAGTATCAAAGAAAAGGGGGGAAATGTATTAGGCAAGAACAAATCTGACTCCATATTAGATTTGTTCCTTTATACTTTAACCTTTGGTGCTCTGCTGCTGGCTCTGCACCTTTTGTAAAAGAATGTTGCCTCTAGCCTGAAATATACAGGATAGCCTCATCTCAGGGCTCCAACCTTTAAGGGTCCATTCATATAGAGATAAAAAGGTGCAGAACAGAGAGTAACATTTGTCTTATTGGAGGTTTACAGGAACATTGTGACCTGACCTACGTGGACAGCTGTAAGCACAAAGGATTCAGACACCAAGAAGTTTTCTTTTTTTTTTCTTAATGCATGTTCAACTTAAATTTTTTACTGTGAAATAAAGCATACTCACAAAATAATGCAAGAAAACATTTACATGCACCTTAGAAGCAATAATAAAACAAGCACTTGGAGCCACCAGCCTGGTGGACGCAGCACTGACCCAGGGCCCCTGTGGTCCCCCCTTAGCAAGGAGAGTATCACGTGATAACTTTTCTCCTTCTTTTTTCTTCTATCTAAACACACTGGGTAATCCTTCAATAAACAGATAAACTACAGGGTTTAGTGGTAGGAGAAAGACACTCCAGTAGCTCCAAGCACACCAAGCACTCAGTCCGTGGCTCCTAAACACTCTTCCCCACTAAAAGGAACCGGGGGGAAATGGCCGATTCCAGGGCTGGGGCAGGGAAAGTACAAGGTGAGCCTGAGTCTAGTTAATGGCAGATAGAGAATGCTAAAACAACAAAAATGACAGGACTCTGTCAAAGAGCCAGCCAGATTTGGGACAAGGAGTAAGTAACGACCATAAGGGATAACACCTTGAATTAAAAAAAAAAAAAAGAGGGGCTTCCCTGGTGGCACAGTGGTTGAGAGTCCGCCTGCCGATGCAGGGGACACGGGTTCGTGCCCCGGTCCGGGAGGATCCCACATGCCGCGGAGCGGCTGGGCCCGTGAGCCATGACCGCTGAGCCTGCGCGTCGGGAGCCTGTGCTCCGCAACGGGAGAGGCCACAGCAGTGAGAGACCGCATACCGCAAAAAACCAAAAAAAGAATCCATGAAACCACTGACTCTAAAATTAAGTCTTCCAAATGTAAATAAGGAGAGGGAAGAGGGGAGAAAAGAGGGCTCTTCCCAAGAAGAGTGCCAGCAGATAAACGTGGAAGGGATGCATGCACTACGGAGACCACCGTTTCAGACCCCATGTAGTAAATCCTCAGTGCACAGACACCAAGAAGTTTGCAACAACTAACCATGCCCCTCCCTCACCTTGCCTATAAAAGTGCTTTGCTGAAACCCTTCGAGGAGGCACGAGCCCACATCGCCTTGCATGGTCCTCCAATAAACCTTTCTCTGCTCCAAACTCCGATGTCTTGGTATTATTTGGCCTCACTGTGCGTTGGGTACATGAACTCGCGTTCAGTAACTGTTTTTGCACACAGGACATAAATCATCTCTTTTCTGATCTCTTAGCACCTCATTCCAAAGATCTACCTGTTGTCCATTCACTGATTTACACCTTTCATTTTCTCTTTTGTTATATTGTATTTGCCACCTGATTCAGAATGAAGATCTGGCTATTTCAGTTGCATGATGCAATGATTAAAATGTTTAGTTTCATTTCCCTTGTACACAAGAGTCCTTCTGTGTCTTTCGGAGACTTCTGAATTACTTAGGTTTGTCCTTCTGGTAAGTTCTGAACTCCAGGCTGCTGCTTCCTCCTCCATGCTCCTCTCCAGGCTTGTATTTCTTCTTCAGTAGAAAGCAGGACTTTAAACTTTACCTTCTCTTCATTGCCTCTACTTCATTGGGGATATTTATATATACATATATATATATATTTTTTAATTATTTTATTTTTGGCTGTGTTGGGTCTTTGTTGCTGCATGCGGGCTTTCTCTAGCTGCAGTGAGCAGGGGCTACTCTTCCTTTCGGTGCGCGGGCTTCTCATTGTCGTGGCTTCTCTTGTTGGGGAGCATGGGCTCTAGGTGTGCAGGCTTCAGTAGTTGTGGCACGTGGGCTCAGCAGTTGTGGCTCACGGGCTCTAGAGCTCAGGCTCAGTAGTTGTGGCGCACGGGCTTAGTTGCTCCACAGCATGTGGGATCTTCCCGGGTCAGGGCTCGAACCTGTTTCCCTTGCATTGGCAGGCAGATTCTTAACCACTGTCCCACCAGGGAAGCCCTATTTTTTATATTTTTGAAAAAAATTTTAGAGTTCCTTTTAGAGTTTGGGTTGAGTTCCATGGAAGTTTGTCACTTACCTGTGTTCCTGAACTATGAAACTATGAACTAGTAATATCTGGGCTAAGGAATAGTTTCTCTTGATAAATAAATTTTATAAATACTTATAACATCTATATAGATTTCTATCTTTTCAATATTTTATCCCACTTCCTTACATAATATTCTTTTGTTTTCTCTGTCCTCTTCAAGCCCAAGGATTATACCTTTAATGCCAATCCCTCCATTAGAGATATTTGGATTTTTGTATATTAGTTTCTCCAAATATTTGTTTACTCTTAACAGTTCATCTTTTTAAAATTTGTCTCCAGAATTTTAATCAAACCCCCAGAACTTGCCTTTCAAATATTCTGGAGTTTCAAATTTTTTTCACTACATCCGGTACATTTGTCTTTAAAGAACTGAAGTTCTTGTCCAGGTTATTTCCCACATTGTTGGCTAGAATTTCTCCCTGGACAAAATGTAACCTTGGTCCTATGGTGTGTAGCATGACTTGATCAGAAGGAATGTTGAGAACCAGTATATTTCTTGACCTGACTTACAGTCAATTTGTCAACATGAGATGTCTTTATTATAAGCAATGGTTTCACGGGACTTTTTCTTTACCCCTGTAGAGGCAGAATAATCAGGTTACTGATTATTCTGAGTTGACTGATTTTCTCTATCTATGAATTTCTTCACGTCCTCATGACATGCATAGTAGAATTCTATGTTAGGCTCATCAGTAAGGCTGAATATTTTTTGTTTTCCATGGAGTCCTCATTTTTTACTGCATAGAAACTCTTATTTAAGTAATGAATATCTCTCTGTCTCTGTCTTTCTCTTCCAGACAGAAGAAAAAGTGAAGGGAATCCCAGGCAGAAGAAAGAATGTAACCAAAGACACAGGCATGAGGGAACTGCACTTATCTGTGGAAGAACTCATATGGGTAAAATGGGAGAGGTGGCAGGAGCTGGGGCTGGAAAAGCGGGGCGGAGCCAGTGTATGGAGGGTCCAATATGGTCCCCCAGGAGTCTGACTTATCATGCTGAATGGGGAAGCATCTAAGTTTGTTTGTTTCAACACAGGAGCAGGGGCTTCCCTGGTGGTCCAGTGGTAAAGAATCCGCCTTCTGATGCAGGGGACGTGGGTTTTATCCCTTGTCAGGGAACTAAGATCCCACATGCCATTGGCAACTAAGCCCACGCGCCACAACTAGTGAGCCTGCGTGTCACAAACTACAGAGCCCACGTGCCCTGGAGCCCACGCGCCACACCTAGAGAAGAGAAAACCCGCACGCCACAACTAGAGAGAAGCCTGTGCACCACAACGAAGATCCCACGTACCACATCGAAAGATCCTGCATGCCTCAACGAAGATCCTGCGTGCTGCAACTGAGACCCGATGCAGCCAAAAATAAATAAAATCAATCAATCCATCTTAAAACAAACAAACAAATAAACGAAACCCCCCACAGGAGCAGCACGCGGTTTCCATGTTGAGAAAGATAATTCTGAACTAGTGATTTTGGAAGGTGGATTGATAGCTGGGATAGTGGCAACAGGGAGACCAGTCAGGAGATGGCTACAATAATCTAGGGAGAGCTGGGGAAGGTGAGTTGTGTCTCAGCTCACGGCATCCTTGAAACACTGAAGGGAAAGCTCCAGTGATCCGCAGGAGTGACCCAACCTGGCATGCCAGTGAGGACGGCTGGCACGGGAAAGAACTGGATGCGGATGGAACTCTTGGTAGCCTGACGACTAGTTCTTCAAGACACAATCCTGACTGGATTCGATCTTTCTGGCCTTCCTGCCTGAGCCAGAGTGCATTTTGATTTCGTGACTACCCTGCACTGCTTCTTAAATCAGTATTACATTCATGTTCCCCTTGTGGATTAAGTGGGGCTGACTATGAATGCCTTCCCAGTTTCTGCCTGTGCAGTCCCGACACTGCACCCAGTACAAGTGGTGATGGGGACACTCAGGAAGCTGCCCTGAGGACCTTTCATGACTATTCATGACTGGGAGGGCCTACCTGACAACTAAACAGATGTGGAGAGAAATAAGAAATAAGAAAAAGAAGCCGGGGAGACTCTGATGTGTCCATCTCAGACAACTGCATGATTAGCAGAGCCTTGAAATGCAAGAGTAGGCTGGGGTGAAAGCTGATTTAAACTTTTGGAGTTCAAAGTGCCGGCAGGACATGAAGGTAGCTCTCCGGCAGACAGCTGGAAGCACCGATAGTGTCTTCTCCATTTGGAATTCTGCACCTTCAGCCAAATGCCCACAGGTCACGTCAGACACTATGTAAAAGCCTAGCCAGAAGCTTCCTGTCTAAAATACTTAAAAAGAGTGTGTTGCACCCTGTTTTTCTGTTATGGTCTTTCCAGCACTTCAACCCTTAATTTATACTCCAACTTTTCCTGGTATCTCCTTGGTTTTCTTGCTTGGCATTATCAGATTCTAACGTGCCATAATTATATTTACCTTTTTCATTCTTCCTCACTGTGTGCTACATACAAGTGAGGATTATTTTTCTGTTTTATTCACTGTTGTACCACTAGTGACTAGAACAGCATCTCACATATGCTAGGCACACAAAAAATACCTGTTGAATAAATGAAAGAAAAAGTAAATAACTTTTTAAAAAACATTTCACGTATATTCAAACCTTATATCCATTAGCAGTAGGCCTACATGAGGGGAATTATAAAAAAGTAGTATATTTGTAAATATGTTTCTCAAAATGACTATCCACTCTACTGATTCCAGATCTAATTACACTGGAATAATTCATTGCTTTATGTCCTACTTAGAGATTTCTCAAAATTATAGCATTAGGATGTTAATATTATCTCCTAAACTATAAAATGATGTTTAATTTGCTTCTTCATGTAAGTTAAACATAATTAGAATGCTTAGTGGGCCAGAAGGCAATTTTGTTTGATGAAGCTGGTCTTCCTCTTTTAGTATTAGGTTCACTTAATGTAAGATGACATTATCTTTATAGATCATTTAAATTTTATATGGATTACCTTTACAAAATATTTCTAAAATACAGTCATTTCATTGTTACAGTGTTACTCATGGATTAGTTAAGATCCCCTTGAGGAAGTCTATTATTTCTACTTCCCTCTGAAATAGTTAAAGTGTTCATAAAACTTAACTCATCAGAGAGCATGGGAGATGTCATACAGATCTTGATGGCATAAACATTCCTGAAGAGTTCTGAAGTATTTTGATCATTTTGAAAATAAATTTAAAATCCAATTAATAAAGAAGTGATTTTCTAAAATGTATGCAACATAAGTAGCACAGGAAATTCTTTAGAAATTTCATTTTAAACACTTTGTTCAAGAAGTAAGTCTTCTCTGCAGCAATGAATTTCTCACCATCTTCACTTGTTTATGATATTCAGGTGATTGGTATTAATTTGTCTCTTGTTTCTTTTTGCATCTTCATTTTGAAGTCCGATTGGCATTCGTTCCGTACAGAAAACAATTTAATTTTCATTGAGGCCTTTTCAGACTATGTACATCTGCAAAAAATATCAAAGGAATGATCCAGAGCAGCAGCTACTACAAGGGAAGGATCTTTGTTGGAAACGTGAGTAAGAAAGTAACCAAAGTTATTAATCATTTTCTCAATCCTTTCCACATCCCTGCCAGTGATTCCTAGGATACAATACTAATAATATTTCCTCTGACATAGGCATTACTATAACGAAAGCTCCCTTTACATAGTAACATTGACTCAATTGGGAGTCAAATGCTGAGAAATATTTTTAGAGGCCATTGTTTGCAAAAGATGCCTTCTTACATTTTTTTTGGAATTGCCATGCATAAGCAAAATTTGATCAACAGAAAAGAAACTGTGATGGACGTTCTGCAAGGTCCCAATGGTTCTGACAGCAAAAGAAAAGAAAGGGTCTAGTGAAAAAGCAATTTGCAGATGGATACATAAGAGTATAATGTCATTTCTGTGAAAAAAATTCCAATACACAAAACTATACCCTTCTATTACGTACACAGAATGGTGACTGTAGAAAGTATGTGGGTAGCAGTTTCCAGAAGGGTGCTGGCTTTAACTTGGTATTCTTTAAATGTATGGCCCTGAGATTATATATAATTACTCATGGAATAAAACGATGTGGAGAAAGACTTCACATGATTATAGAAGAAAAGACAAAATGGGTCAAAAACTCAACTCAAAACAAATTTTTGAAGGTGGCTCTAAGGAATTAGTTTGGAAAGGTAGTGGAGTGTAAACGTGCTCTACAGAGCTCTTTGAATTAGCTGCGTAAATTGTGTCTTTTAACTTTTACAACAAGATTGAGGCAGGTAGTATTATTTGCTCTTTACAGATGGGCAAATTGAGACTCAGGAAGGTGTCTCACTTTCAAATCTCACATACATATTAAGGGAGTTTGAATTTGAATTAGGTTCTTTCTCCAAAATCCATCCTTCTGCCAGTGCACCAGATTGCTTCCAGTAACTTTGTCAATTTCATTCTGTGACCACCTACTAACATCTTTTGTTTTTAAGTCCTTTCATCCTTTTATTATTTGAACACTGTTATTCTATTACAAACAAATGAGTATATTATTGATTGGTTCTTTTAGATCAAAACAAATGTATTTAACAAATGTTTTACACAGTTATTGTAGAATCACTGCAGAATAAGAAAAGATTAAAGAAGGAAAAAAATTCTACATGTCATACCATTTAAAGGTAGTCACTGTTAACATTTTGGTAAACATCCCATTGCAGTACTGTTTTATAGTCAGCTTTTACGAATTACTCATTCGGGGGACTTCCCTGGTGGTACGGTGGTTAAGCATCCGCTTGCCAATGCAGGGGACAGGGGTTCAAGCCTTGGTCCGGGAAGATCCCACATGCCACGGAGCAACTAAGCCCATGTGCCACAATTACTCAGTCTGTGCTCTAGAGCCCGCAAGCCACAACTACTGAGCCCACGTGCTACAACTACTGAAGCCCACGCACCTAGAGCCCATGCTCTGCAGCAAGAGAAGCCACCACAATGAGAAGCCCGTGCACTGCAAGGAAGAGTAAGCCCTGCTTGCTGCAACTAGAGAAAGCCTGAGTGCAGTAACGAAGACCCAACGCAGGCAAAAATAAATAAATAATTAAAAAAAAAAAATTACTCATTCAGGACTTCCCTGGTGGCACAGTGGTTAAGAGTTGGCTGCCAACGCAGGGGACATGGGTTTGAGCCCTGGTCTGGGAAGATCTCACATGCTTGGAGCAACTACGCCTGTGCACCACAACTACTGAGCCTGCGCTCTAGAGCCTGCGAGCCACAACTACTGAGCCTGCGAGCCACAACTACTGAAGCCCGTGCGCCTAGAGCTCGTGCTCCGCAACGAGAGAAGCCACCACAATGAGAAGCCCACGCACCGCAACGAAGAGTAGTCCCTGCTTGCCGCAACTAGAGAAAGCCCGCACGCAGCAACCAAACCCAATGAAGCCAGAAATAAATAAATAAATTTATTTAACAAAAAAAAGAATTACTCATTCAACAAGTATTAATTGAATGTTGAAATATGTCATTATATAACAATGTGTTGTAAACATTTTCCCATCATTAAATATCTTCCACGGTCACACTTGTTGCACTGTAAAATTTTTAAGATCAATCTCTACCCTTTTGCTTATTTAATGGAGGATACAAGCTAATATTTTTGTATTTAATGAGAAACTCCAGAGAAATTAAATTATTATTTTAGTAATAGAGGCTCTAAGTTCTCTACAGAACCAAGTGTCATAACATTTGTAATTTGTTTTACCTGCTTTAAAGCCATTTCGTTTGGGTTGCCATATGCTGGAGGTTGGCAAATTATGGCCTGAGGGTCAAACCTGACCCACTGTCGGTTTTTGTGATACAGTTTATAGGAACACAACCACATTCATTTAGTTACTTGTCTTTTGCTGTTTTGTGCTACAACAGCAGAGTTGGTGGCCCACAGAAAGAGTATGGCCCCCCAAAGCCTAAAATATTTAATATGTGGGCCTTTACAGAAAAGGTTTGCTGACCCCTGATACACACTACAATGTTGATTCCCGCTCAAAGCTTCTCTGGCCCATATGCTCACAAATCCCCATATTCTGGTACTAGAGACGCGATTCCAAATAGAGCATCCAGGTCCAGAACATAATGTCAGATGCCCAAATCAGAATCTGTCTACACAGCTTCCCCCAAATTCATGAAATCAACAAAATGCAAATAAAACCAAACATTACCCAGCCTGCAGCATTAGTAGGAGACAGGGAACAACTCAAACATCAAATTACCTGTAAGAAGAGAAATAAACACCAAACTCCAGTAGAATTCCTGCTCCTACAAGCCTATGGAGGCTAAGAGTAGGGGGACAGTGGCTTAAGCAACTCCATTTAAAAGAAAAGAGGGGAGCAAAGGACTTAAAGCATTGACCAAAATCACCCCAGGAAGAAAACGTTCCACATTGAGTGTTAGCACTCAGGTCTGGGAGGTGATCATTCACAGTCCTGGATACATGGAAGACGCTTGAAGGTGATGGGGCTGGAAGCAGCTGCCTCCAATCAGGACTTGTCCTGCAGGGTGTCAGTCAACAGAGAGGGGGTGGGGCACCCCGGAGACACCACAGCAAGGGGAAAAGAGAAAGTTAACTCAAGGATCCAAAACAACAGGACACACCAACCCTTTCACTCTCCAACACTACCATAAACTCATTTATTTAAAAGAAACTGTATGTCCATATCCTGGCTGAATTGGGCATTCATATTATGTGTTAAATGCCCAGGAATAGCAAAAAATTAAACCAACTCCATACAAAGCAACTATAAGAACACAAAAACAAAACAAGCAAACCAAGAATCATACTTCTAGCTGATGAAAACTCTCTCCCCCAAACCAGCCACCAAGTAGTATACTGTGACACAAAATTCTATGAATTATATATTCTCAAATAAGCATGTAAAGATAATTTTGTGGAACACCACTTGGAATCATAAATTCAAACACTAAGAAGAAATATGGACCTCCCGCCACAAAAAAACAAAACAAAGCAAAAAACAGTAAGAAATGCAACAAGAATTGATCAAAGTCAGTAAAGTAATTGAAGAAAAAAGCATAAGGTCTAAAAAATGAAGGACTACAAAGTGGCCAAGGAAGAAGGAATTCAAATAAAGACCTAATAATAAACAATGAAGAAAGTGAGTAAAACAACAAGGGGATGAAACTGAGATAAAGATATTTTAAAAGGGATTAGAGACAATATGATGGGAATGGAAAACAGACACACACAAAATCAACATACATATAACTGGAATCTCTGAAGAAAAGAAATGAAACAAGGGAATAAAACTAGTGTTGTTTTAAAAAAAAAACTTTCCCAAAGTGAGAAAACATTAATATAGATATTGAAAGGGCTCACCACATACATGGGAAAAATGACCTGTTATGATGAACTCCGAGGTATAACTTAGAAAAATCAACAATGAAATATTCCCAATGTTTAAAATGCAATTAAAAATTACTGTACACTAGAAACTAACACAACACTGTAAACAAACTATACTTCAATAAATTTTTTTTAAAATTACTAAATCTGCAAAGAAGCAGAGAAATGTAATCCATAAACAAAGAAAAATTAATCCAATTGCAACAGACCCAGAAACAGTGTGGAATAAGCAGAGAAATCCTTTATTTATTTATTTATTTTATTGAAGTATAGTTGATTTACAATGTTGTGTTAGTTCCAGACGTACAGCAGAATATATATATTCTTTTTCAGAGTCTTTTCCCTTATAGGTTATTACAAAATATTGAGTAGGTCAATATTTATTTATACAGTAGGTCCTTGTTGGTTAACTATTTTATATATAGTAGTGTGTATATGTAATCCCAAACTGCTTATTTATCCCCCCCACCCCTTTCCCCTTTGGTAACCATAAGTTTGTTTTCTATGAGCAGACAAATCCTTTAAAACACCTTTTATGAAAACACTCAAGGATGTAAAGAAAAATACAGATGTACTGAGGGGAGAAATAGAACATATAGAAAGAAAAGGCCAAATGGAAATTCCAGACCTGAAAAAGATGATGTAACCAAAATGAAAAAAATCACTGGATGAGATTATCAGAAGACTAGACACTGAAAAAAAAAAAAGATCATGTGCCTGAAGATACAGCAAAAGAAATGCTTTCAAATGAAAGCACAGAGGGGACAAAAAGACTGAGGGGAAAAAACAAAAGAACTTCACTTCAGTGATCTATGGGACAATATTAAGTTGTCTAATATATGTATTATTTGAATCTCAGGAAAGTGGGAGCAGAAAACTATTTGAAGAAACAATAGCTAGAATGTTTTCTGACTTGATGAAAACTATAAACATACATATCCAGGAAGCTCAACGAAGTTAATCAGAATTACAACAAAGAAGACAACACCAAGTCATGTTACTGTCAAATCACTGAAAACTAGTGACAAAGAGAAACGTTTAAAAGCATTCAGAAAATAAAACACGTTAGCAGTGGACCA